ATCATATTTAAATTTGATATAAAATAAGTATCACAAAAACATATTAAATAAACAATTTGAAAATTGAAAATAATGTTTCAAAATCTTTAACGGTGTTGTTTAATAGTGTTATAGTTTATTTTTTTGAAGCTTATAGAAAAATGCATTAAGATCTAAAAAACTTTATTATGTAATTATTGGAGGTTTACAACAACTATTTGAAGAGCTTGATATTTGAAAGATTGAAGATGTAAGATCAATAACACTGATATTGTAATAAACATTAATGTTCTTGAAGATGTTTTAAAAAATCAAAAATCACATATTTTGAGTTATAACGTAAGATTTCTTTATTCTCGTGTGATTATAAAAGAACATTCTCGATTTTTAAAAATAAAAAGACTCTTAAAATAAACAAAATAAATAAAAAAAATCTCATTCTACAAGCAAAAAGATTATATAAAAAATAATTGTTTATTACAGAAGCAATTAAGGTAGTGCCTCATATTTTAAAATCTAGTACGGTATTTTTTATTAGTCTAGTATGATTTTTTTTTTGTGATAAGCATTTTGTTTTCAATCAATTCTAGAAATTCTTAACTTTTTCTTTCATTTTTTGAAGGTGTGATCCTAGTCGAATTTTTATCTCATTCATACAGATTAGGTAATTCAACACTCTACTAATTTTATTTATTTTTTACTTTATTATGACATGTTAGTTAAATTATTTTTAAATTTAAAAGATAATCCATCTTCTTTCAAAACAACAATACATATTCTTTGTAATAACCTAAAAATTATTTCTTTTAGGTTCATTTGAATTTGTTACAGTTTTAATACCCTTTATTTCGAAGTTGGAATAAAACCAAGTCATGTTGATATCCAAATGCCTGAATTTGAATAATTTGATCCTATATTTTATCTCAAGGAATGATAGCGTAAGTTTTTTTGGGATTTTATCCCGCAATAAATTTATCAAAGAATAAAAAGGCACAAAAATAAAAGAAAAGAAAAGAATAAATAAAAGAAGCGCGTGATGTTTCATTTCCGTATATAGCGTGCTAGTCCCTGACAAGGTCTAGTTCCTGGTTTCTCCTTTCCCAAGCAAACGCAGAAAAGAAGTGGAACTCGGTCCATTCTAGCTCAGTACTCAATTAATCGACTCACCCATGGACGTGCAAGAAGGAACTCAGCAGTCACAGCAACTCGTCCTAGCGCACAACGTCTTCCTCCTCAAGCACCCAGACGTCCCTGACATCGAGAAGGTCAGCCTCAAGGATGAGGTCCTGAACTCGGTCAAATCAAACGGTAACTCGTCCGATTCCACTCCTCCCTCTTCCGAGGTCAATTTTTTAGATTAAACTCTAATGCGAAATGCGTTGCGTGTTTTTTCGTTGTTGTGGCGGTTTTAGATATGACTCCATATTACGAAACCCTAGTTGCTGATAAAGTGGTGGAGCTGGATCAGAGCGTTTTGGACTCGATGCGTGCCAAGAACGTGGACGAGATTAAGAAACTTGATGAGAAGTGAGTTTTTCTTCTTTTTTTTTTTCCTGATTGGTTGCTGATTATTTAAGATTGAATGGAATTTTATTAAAGATTGAGTTTTTCTGGTCTTAATTGTTGATTGGAAGTACAAGATTTTTGGTGTTCGCTAGCGTTTTTTAGGTTTTGGTTCACATTGTTAGGGTTTATTTAATACCCAATTTGATGAGAATATTTTGTGGAACTTTAAGCTTAAAGTGAATTGACTTAACCTTTGCTTGATGATGTTTTGAGGCTTATGGGAAAGGTGAAGAAGTTTTAAGGTGTATATAGATTGGGAAGTTATAGTAAAATAGCAGTTAGGAGAAAGAGATAGATACTGATCCAGTAAGTGCTTTTTGAAAATTTAATTAGAGTGTTGTGAGGGTTTTACTTAATTTATTTTCCTCCTTTGATATCTTTATACTTCTCTTGCAATAGATAGGACATTTTTATTTCAGAGCTGTGATTATGAGAGGTGCTTTAGTGTTATAGTGTCTTTTTTGCAGTGATAATACTTTCAAGATCTGTATCCATGAAATGCTGGACTCATTTATGCTGTTAATTAGATAATGTTGAGTCGGATAGATACCAGTTGTGGGTTATTTTTTGTTAATGCAAAAAAAGTAGCTATGAGTCTCAGTTGTAGCTGAAACATCTCAACCCTGAAGTTCTTGAAACAACCAAAAAACCATGAACTGGGGTTAACAATTGAATACAAGAATGGACACCCTTCCAAGCTCATGACTCTTTTTCAATTGCCTGAGAATTTTTATGATAATATTAGGATTTAGAAATGATGATGCTGTCAGTTGAAGAACAAAAATTCATAATTGATGAAGAATGCTATAATGTAGGCATGATAAAATGTGGTTAATTTTCTTCAATAAATTAGATGAATGATTGTTATTTTATTGAATCATGTTTAACTCAAGTCTGCCTTGTTGGCATTGTAGGATTGCTGATGCTGAAGAAAACTTGGGTGAAAGTGAAGTTCGAGAAGCGCACTTAGCTAAATCCTTATATTACATTCAGATAGGTGAAAAGGTATTAGAATTGTGGTTTATTGCTCTTGAAGCTGATGTCTGCTTCATCTATTTATGTTTCAGTGCCATGTTTCTTATCTTGAATTTTGCCCTTCTTAATCTAGGAGAAAGCATTGGAGCAACTGAAGGTGACTGAAAGCAAGACAGTTGCTGTTGGGCAAAAGATGGACTTGGTGTTCTGCACTTTGCAGATTGGATTTTTCTACATGGATTTTGATCTTATTTCAAAGAGCATAGATAAAGCGAAAAAGTATGTATGATATGGATTAAAAATATTCTTTCGTTCTGACTTTTGCATAACATGAGTTGTAGGCCTTTCACTTATTCTGCTCACAATTTGATGCCAGCTTGTTTGAAGAAGGAGGTGACTGGGAAAGGAAGAACCGTTTGAAGGTGTATGAAGGCTTGTACTGCATGTCCACTAGAAATTTTAAGAAGGCTGCCAATCTGTTTTTGGATTCCATTTCAACCTTCACAACTTATGAACTTTTCCCTTATGACACATTCATATTTTATACTGTGCTTACAAGCATCATATCATTGGATAGAGTTTCCCTGAAACAAAAGGTATTTTGGAGTTTACCTCTACATTGTTGTCCTATGACATATATTGTTAGTTTATTATTTTGGGCCAGTCAAATTTACTGAATGGCTAAATGTTGTAGGTAGTTGATGCTCCTGAGATCTTGACCGTGATTGGAAAAATTCCCTATCTTTCAGAATTTTTGAACTCTTTATATGATTGCCAGTACAAATCATTCTTCTTAGCATTCGGTAAGTATAGGTCTGCTAATTTTTTAATAACTTGATATAGAAATGTTGGTTTGTCGCAGAATCTATCCCGTAATTATCTAGTCGCACTGCTTTCCTAACATTTATAAGATATCTTGCATTTGATAAAAGCTAAAATTTTATTCACTGATTGATTCTTTGTTTGAATTATTTATCAGCTGGCCTGACAGAGCAGATAAAATTGGATCGGTATTTGCATCCACACTTCCGGTTTTACATGAGGGAGGTCAGAACTGTTGTTTACTCTCAATTTCTGGAATCCTACAAGAGTGTTACAATTGAAGCCATGGCAAAGGCTTTTGGGGTGACAGTGGAGTTCATCGATTTGTAAGTGATTACATCCTAGTTCTTTTTATGTATAATATATGTATACTTTTTCCCCCTATTGCTTATCATTGCTGGTAAAATTGCTCAAGTTTCTGTAAGGCTGTTTCTCTTTTGATTTTAATGTGGTAGTATTCTTTTTCCCTCCCAATCATGAATGTTTCTCTTCCATGGTTCCAGGGAGCTGTCACGATTTATTGCTGCTGGGAAGCTTCATTGCAAGATTGACAAGGTTGCTGGTGTTCTTGAAACTAACCGCCCTGATGCGAAGAATGCTCTCTACCAGGCAACTATTAAACAAGGAGACTTCTTATTAAACCGGATCCAGAAGTTGTCTCGCGTCATTGATCTATGAAGTAGTTAGGCATTTCTTCTGATTTAGAAATGGATGATAACCAATGATCTCAAGTTTGAAAGCAATATGGAACATAGAGTAATGCTTTTGGATGTGTTTTTTGATTTTATGATTGTGATCCTATATTCCTTTCTTTCCTGCTACCGTTTTTTTCACTTTTAGGCCAATGAATTTAATGCTACTGAGTTCTTGTCTTTCCAGTTTCCAAAATTTCAAACGTTTTTGCTATGTTCTCCTTGTGTCTGTGTCAGTGATGATTGGAGTGTGGATCTGGGTGCTTCAGAGCCACTGGTTGTTTAATGAGAAAAACAGTAAGTTCTTCAGAGCCACTGGTTCTTTAATGAGACAAACAGTAATCTCATTGTGTTTGTGTCTGCGATGATTTGAGGGATCTGGGTGCTCCAGAGCCACTGCTTCTTTCTTCTGCAAGACGAGCAGGCCAAATGTAAGATTTTCTTAGGTTAAATTCCTTAATTGTTCCATTTAAAAAACGTTTGGAGGTTGTTGTTTGTAAGGGGAGAGCAGGATTGTAGATTAAATTAAAAGAAAAAAAGTTTAGTCAGTGTTTTACGTATCACCTAGAAGATCCTTAAATTGGCCTCTCCCAACTCTACTTACTTGCCTGTAATTTATTCAGTAATAAATCGTGTGGCTTATATTTTTTTTTTTTGTGTTTTTTCCTCAATTTATTTAGTTTACGTTTTCTTGATCCTTTCATTTTTTGGTTCTTGTTTTGTTTTGTTTTTTTTCAAAAAATGAATACAAATGGAATAATAAAAAATGAATAAAAAATCAATTATGAATATAAGTAAAAAATATCAATCAAGTGGAATTTTAATTTAATTTTACTTTTACTTTTCTCAGATTGGTAATTAATGAGTCATAATTTTTTATATGTAGTTACAAAAATCTCTCGTCAACATATTAACGCTATAATATCCGGTAAAATTCTGAATTATTTTATTTTGGAATTAGAATTTGCTAAATTGGGTTGATTTTTCTTTTTTTTTTCTTTTTTCACTATTTATGATATTTGTCAATACGTGACAATAGTGGCCAAGTTTGGTGAGTAATGACCACTAGCATAGGACGGCCGAGGCCTATTACCCGAGAATGAGGGCAGCCCAAGTTTCCAACCCAGAACTCAGCGGGCAGAATAGAAAGGAAAAGGAAACCCAAATCGCACATTTATTAGAGCTACAGCAACGGAATATTTTGCATTACAAGCCTGTGGTAGTTAACCTTTTTCAATGTTCAAAAAAATTAAAACGCCTTAATTATAGCAGGAAAAGTCCAGCATCCTAACATAAAACAGGTTGTTGGGTTGGGTAGACTAGCATTAACTTAGCGAGAAAGGTAGCAGTCAATACAACAATGAAACAAGTGGCCCTGAGGAGAGAATGAGGGAATAAGGGTAAAGGAGCAAATCTTATCGTCGGTTGTCACCTTTCTTTTATTCCAAAAGTATTAAAAATACAAACCTTGAACCAGAGCCAACTAGGAAAAGGAGAGGGCGAGGCATTAGGCCAGCGTCACATTCGGGAAAAGCACACTATCCACTTCTAAGAGGCGGTGGTTGTTTGTTCACTTTTGCATTGCAGTGGACAGACGCCCTGCTCTCACTTTTGGCTTCTCAGCCACAATATATATAACTATATTTTATCTTTATAAAATGGGTTTTTGTTCTGTGAACAATATTTTGCTCTCTCTGTTTCATCGTTTTACTGTGCAAGAATGTGAAGAAAAACCGGAGCTGAACTCGTTTTTTAATGTTAATTAAAGAACGAAATTATTTATTTACTATACAATTTTTAATTAAAGAATTAAAGGGTAAAGTGAAGAAAATGAATGCTATAGCTTCTCGTTTTGATTTCAAAGAGATTCAGGAGAAGGTTTCTCTTCACTTGAGACCTTGGCATCGCTCATTACAGTTCTGGGTTCGAGCTGCTGATATTTACGCCGGCTACAAGGTCCCTCTCTCTCTCTTCCCGTCCTTTTTCATTTCTTAATCTGACAAATTTTGGTTGTTGGGTAATTGTCGACATGACAGGTGTTTCAAGTTCGAGTGAGTTTTGTGAAGGATGTGCAGAAGCAAGAGGCAATGTGGGAAAGACAACATGAGCTTGCTGCTGACAAGATTTATGCTATGTGTTCTGACCTTGGTGGCTTCTTCCTTAAGGTACTTTGAGCCATCAATTTCCATTTCTTTTTAATATCAATTGGGCCTTTTTTTCCCTTGTCTCGTACCATGAATTTTGCTGTGAAAACGGTTCAATTCAAATGGGTTTTCTTTCTGTTTTAACTTTCTTTACCGTTTAATTATATTATTGATTGCTTCTTTTGTTGATTTAGGCTGTTCTTACCTGTTGGAAACTACAAAGTTTTTTGTGTTATTTCAATTGAATGAAAGGGGATTTACTTGTATGTTGGGACTTGATTATCTTTCGTCTTCCTCCTGAAACCCTGTTTTACTCGTAGACATATTTCTTTTTCCTTTAATATTAAATATTTTTTGTTGCTAATAATAGAGTTGCAGGTGATGGTCATTGGGTTTAGGTAAATCCTATATTTATTGAGGGCTCTATTTTCAAATTGCTTGTTGGATACTTGTCACTTGGATTATATTAGGTTGCTCAAATTATCGGGAAGCCAGACCTAGCCCCAGCGGCATGGGTGAAAAGGCTTGTTACATTGTGCGATCAAGCCCCGGCAACGCCATTTGATGCTGTTAAATTTGTTTTAGAGAACGAGTTGGGTCAAAGTGTTGGTGAAATTTTTGAAAAGTTTGATGTAAATCCTCTTGGTTCAGCTTCAATTGCACAGGTACTATTTTCCATTTCTTTACCTGGCTTAAAGTTCTGATATGAGCAGGCTGGGAAGGTTATAGGCTGGAGCATTTAAATAATCAAATCATTAAATGATGCACGTTTTCATTAAATGAGCTTCATGCTTGCCAACATACAAATATGGTACATTTGCTGTTTTAATGTCAGCATTGTGATAATCTGGTTTCTTATTTTCTTAGAACACTTCTTGGCTTCTTAATTCCAACTGGAATTAACTTTCAAATTTTTTTGGATCTATTGCTGCCAGAAAGTTTGTTCATTGGGGTCTGGGGGAAAGTTTTGTGCTGGAAATAGATAATGCTTATGATAATAATATGGATAATACTTTTCATATCTTCATCTTTGAATTAGGTTCATCGAGCAAGACTGAGAGGTGATAAGAGTGATGTTGTTGTTAAGGTAAGCCCCCTTGGACATGATTTCATAGCTTCATACATCCATGAGATTCTGACTATTAAGTTTATGGTAGGTGCAACATCCTGGAGTCCAAGATCTGATGATGACAGACATCCATAACTTGCAAGCATTTGCATTATACATGCAAAAGACAGATATCAAATTTGATCTGTATTCTGTTACCAAGGAAATGGAAAAACAGGTGTCTATATTCACACTGATTTCATTGCGAAGCGCATCTATCCTTGTTTTCTGAGGTCTTGTTTTTTCATGTCTCTGTAACTCCCTTTCCAGTTTTAAATGGTTAATAATAATGGCTGGGAGAAAAATTGAAGAATGATGGGTGTGGTTCTTAGTAACAAGGAAGCGTACTCAAGAGAAAAAAAATTAATTTTCATCCTTGAGGGCTTTTATAGTGGTTGAATCTCATTAATTAAGATGTAGTGAATCATTTCCAGTTACCAAAATATAATTCTATCCTCATGACATAGCTTGTTCAGCTAGGCCATTCAAAAATTGGTCAAGCAAGACTCATCTTTCTTTTTTTCCCAAATTTGGTTAAACTAATAGTTTTTTCTCATCTTAAATGAAATTACTATGGGGTGTAATATCAAGTTGTTAAATTTTGTCAATCCTGAGTGATAGAGAAATTTAATTTAGTAAATATCAGTGGTAGTATTTAGTAGCGCTGTGAACTATTAACTATGATAATTATGTTAAGAAACTACTCCCTGATAAAAATTTGTGACTTATGCAACTTATCCATGTTTGATGATTGATCTCAATCCCTCAAGTTATGGTAACTGAGGCTATATTCTGGACATTAATTCTCAGCAGTAACTGAGGCATACTCAATTTTGTCTCTATTTATGATTTGAATTTTATGAGATGCACTTTTGATACCTAAGCCAGAGAAAGGATCTTCCCCTTCTTGTTCTTTTTCTTCTTTTAATTACTGATTTCTTATTTCTTTGGTTTCCATTTCCAAGGAGACATTCTCGTGTGAGATGATTTAATCTATTTGTTGATTCAACTTATGCCTTATATACTTCCCAGATTATGTAGATAGAGAGTATCCTTCCACATGAACTTGAATTTCATTGTTCTTCTGGATGAGGTTATTTATTTATCCTTTGTGCTATTCAAGATTGGCTATGAATTTGACTTTCTAAGAGAAGCCAATGCTATGGAGAGAATTCGCCATTTCTTATACAAGAATAACAAAAAGAGTCCAGTTCTGATTCCACGAGTGCTTCAGGATTTGGCTACAAGGCAAGTTCATGTTGTTGTCTTATCTTATAATTGATCTTTGAACAAATAAATCAGTAATTCTGTATATTGCTTGTAGAGATTAGTTGTAAGACTAGCCAAGGATATGCGACTAAGATGTCTAAAACAGCATCTGCCATTCCATTTGGGCCTATGTGTTTTACTTTAGGACTGTGTTGTCTTTATCAGGTAGATTGACCAGCGTAAAGTCTGTGCGATGCATGTTCATTCATTTTGCATACTTAAGTCTTGCATGCTTAGCAGTGAGTTAGTTAAGAAGTTTGTTATCCATGTCACTTTTGCATCATTGACCCCTAAAATTTTTGTTAGTTTTTGAGATAAAACATGTAAGTTGAAGGTGAATCACTTGGGATCCTGGTAGGACAATAGTCTAGTTGGTAGAATATTAAGTTGCATGCTTTGATGATACTTTTGACTCAGGAATTGCAGATCTCAAGTCATTTCGTATAAGCTTCTGTTTTTGTTTTTTAATGAGTCAACCCTAAAGTTACAATAACACTTTCTATGACTGTCAGGTTTCTGTTGCTTGTAAGAGAAAAGATTAATTGTGGTGTTGTCAGTCCTTATTTTTCATTCTAGTTATATCACCTTGACATTTGGCATGTGTGCACCGTACATAAGAATTGTTGCTGTGATATATCCATTTATAAGTTGCTTCTAGTTCTTATGCATGCATTTAGCAATTTATCATAGTTGTAGCGTATCTTACACAGAAGGATATTGATTGAGCCATTGCTTCTGCTTTATCCATCTATTAAACTCCTTTGCTAAACCAGCATCATAATTCAATTTGTGTGCTATTTTGATGTGGACAAGCAGATGCTACTTATGCTGTCATTACATTGAGTTTCCTTCATGTTTTCTAGATGGATGCATTTTGTGTTGTTTTACTTCATCAACTTCTTTTACTGCTTCATAAATGCTGCTGGCATTTCAGTAATCTAAAGTTTTTCTGTTTATATAGGAGGGTCTTGGTAATGGAATATATCAATGGAATCCCAATCTTGAATCTTGGTGATGAAATGGCCAAAAGAGGAATAAATCCTGGTGGTAAAATGGCAGCAGCAGCAAAGCAGTAAGCATCTAGATTGCCCAAGAGACTATGGTGTTTTTCTTGTCTTACTCTTTTATGCCGCAAGAGCTATTACTTTCCTGCTATTTATATCTTTCTTTCTTTTGAACTTGAAAAGAAGTAATGGGCTTTCAGTTTCCAGATATTGCATTTTCCCTCAGTTTACAATTTTACTTGAAACCTCTTTGTTTCCCTCTATTTCCATCCTTCATACCAAACACTAGGAAGAAAGAAAAACTTTCCTTCCTATCCTCCCTTTTTTCTTTCCTCACCGTTGTCCCTTCCCCCTATTTTCTTTCTTTCCTCTCAAACATGGTATTAATGTTTTTTTTCTCCTTTATGTTCTTTAGGTTCTCTATGAAGACTCTGAGTCTTTCACTTCTGGTTTCTTAAGCTTTTTTTTCCCTCCTCCTTGAAAGAGAAAATAGGAAGTTTTGTGTGGCTATCAAGAAATGACTCCAGTTCTCCCTCTCCCCTTATCCTAGTTTTTGTCAGAATGTGTAATAAAAGCCTCAAAATAACTCTTGTGAATGCAGGAACATACTTAAGAGTTTGACACTAGCATATGGACAGATGATACTAAAGAGTGGCTTCTTCCATGCAGATCCCCATCCTGGGAATATATTGATCTGTAAAGGTTCAGAGGCAAGTTGGCTGCCATGATTATTTTTTAATTCTTTTATAGGATTTCTTTCCAATTCTTATTCCTGTATAATCTGCCATATAGCATACTGATGATTGACTGGGACGTTGTTAGTCCTAGAACTATTGAACACTCCATGCCAATTGTGCATCTAGTTGTTTAATCAGTTTGCTTTCTCTACTTAAGTCAGGTTGCCTTGTTGGATTATGGGCAAGTGAAGGATCTACCTGACCAGTTGAGGCTCGGATATGCTAATTTGGTTCTTGCCATGGCTGATAATGATCCTGTAAAAGCAACAGAAAGCTACAGGTAAACTTGTGGGTTTCAATTTTGTGCTCTCAGTAACCTTTCAATACAAAATCAGTTGGTTGACAGGAAAGAAGGGAACTTAAGTTCTAATTGGCTGTTGCATTCGAGTGTGTAATTGGTAGTCATTTGTGTCTGAATAGAATAAAACTGATAGGCAACTTACTGGGTCATCCACATGAATCTAGTAAGAAGTTTGATAATAGCATTGGTTTGACATTGCTATCCTAACATTTTTCAATCTCTAATTCAGTGGATTATGTTGTCTTTGTCCTTGCTTTTAGGCAACTTGGCATAGAGACCGTGAGCAATTGTGAGAATGAACAACAGGAACTACTTCGCTTGGCACAGACAATGTTTGATACAAAACTTCCTCCTGGAGTGGTAATGCTGCAACCATTCTCAGAAGATTCTTCAATAAAAAAAATTGGTGTACAGGTAAGGGCTACTATAAAATACTTAAATCACCTGTCCCCCACCCCAAACCCAAAAAGAAACCTGATCTTTGTCCCTGCTGATGGGTTGATGTTATTGTCTGAAACACTCACTATTCTTAGAAGATCAGATAGATAGATATTCTTGGTCTCTATTCTATTTTTGTATCATATTCTCTTCTCCCCTTTTGTTCTTTTTTCTTTGGTTGAGGGGCAGGTGGGGTTGGTGGCAGTGGGGGGATGTGTAGTCCCTTCATCCAGCGATGATATTTATTTGCTTCTGAATCACAAGTCAGATAATGAAATGTTGTGATTATACCAATTTTATTTTTGGTGATGACAGTCTTTTCCAGAGGAACTGTTCTCTGTTCTTCGTACTGTACATCTGCTGAGAGGACTTAGTGTTGGTCTTGGAATCAACTACTCGTGTGCAGAACAGTGGAGGCCTATTGCAGAAGAGGCCTTGTATAATGCTGGAAGGTTAAAAGGTATCCATTTTGAACCCTAGGCTAAAATAGAGGAGGCATTTAAATCGCACTTTAGTGAGCCTCTCAGAATTTGATTGATCTATTCCTTCTTTGCATGTGGACGAAGACTTACATTTAGAAAACAATCAACTCAAGGTTATTTTACCTCTTTTTCCTTTTCATGATAGGTTAACTAAAGTAAGAAAAACGAAATAGCATTGAAACATATTTTTATTGACCATTGAGAATTGCCTCTCAGGATCTATAATTGTCTCAAAAGGTCCTAGATACAGACATTATTGGAACTAGGGGATTTGAACCTGGGTCATGGGAATTTCCATCCTCAATGAGTGGTGTGTTATCGCCACGCCAAAGGCCCATGGCCAAGTTACATCTTCCGTTCTCTGCCTTTCTGTTATTTTAAAAATGATGAGCCTATTGGTATTAGGTTGAAATCAGATTCACAATCATAAAGCAAAATGGCAAGAATCATCTTGCCTCTTCTTTTGTTTTGTAATTCAGCCTTAAGATTCTTCAGGTCTGTCTATGTTCAGCAATTGTGACATCTGAAGGACTCCACGTACAGTATAGATATGTAAAATTCCTATGGAAACTTACACATAATTGTGTGATTTGCATATCAAACGGTCTCCCATGTAATTTACAAGTTCATGTTGGTCCTATTTCAGGTGCCAATCAAAAGACTAAAGTTCGTAAGTGGGGTTTCTTCAGAAGATTATTTCGAAGAGATTGATTGCTTGAAGAAGAGGTAGGCTTCTATCAGTCTTAATAGTTTGGCATGCATATTACAAGCTTGTTTGTGGACTGATCAATTGTTTCCTTTTCTTTTTGATGTAGAAATTCAATTCATTCCTAGAAGATACATTCATTTAGTTGCCTTCATATGTGATGTTTACAAGCTCGTTAGTGCTAATCTGTATGGAGCAAATGATCGCTTTAACATACAACAATTCTCTTTACGAGTCACAACTCAACACATTTCCTTTTCTTTAACAAGTAGGGCGTTGGATAAAGCAGCAGCAATATACTTCTGTACCTTAAAAGCATGTACATTTGGAAAGGCTTTACTCTTCCCCACATCCGAGAAATCCCGTCACATCCCTGTAAAGAAAACCAATCTCCAGCCGCATTTAACAAGGCAAACGGCTGAACCAGAGACGTAGGAAGAAATAGGCTATGCAGTGGCTGCCGATGCATTGACAATCATCAGTTTTACGGCCTGCCATTGTGTAGAATGAGCAAATATTTCTCAAAGCAATAGCTTGAGTGATTTAAGGCCCCTTGTTCGCATTTAGAGATGTACCAAAATTAATTCATTGAAATTAATGGATGATACAAATTAAAAGCCACAAGATTTTGAGAGGTGCAGTTTGAATGGGCTTATTTCATATTGCTGACGGCTAAAGCCTCGAAGGCAGGCATGTGGTTCATAGAAGAATGAGTTCATGACCTCCCTTGGGATAAAATCATATGCTAGTTTAACTAATCATAGCCTATGCCTTTGCTTAATGCCCTTTTTCTTGTGAAAAAACATTCAAGCCAATTTCCGGGTTACATGCCGGTTTTCATTCCCTAAAAACGAATATGAATTACTAATACCACTAGGTTACTATGCGAAGTTCGGGTAAAACCTGACCCAAGCAAGACCGACCGGTAGTGAAAGTGGGCTACAGGTTTCGGCCCGGTCTGTTAAGTGATAAAATATAAAGCTAGAAGCCCAGAAGCAGAGAGAGTGCAAGGCACGCTTCCCGCTTCTTTAAATTGTGGCGCCAAACAAAATCCAAATCCCTAACTTCTGTTTTTTGTTCTGCTTTCCACCATTTTGAAATACCCAGATCTATCTCTGGAAACTGGAGAAGGAAGTGGTCGTTGGGGAAATACTATCACAGAGAGATGTTCGGAAGAGTACGAGCATCGCCGTCGCCATCGCCACTTGACAGCTTGGAGACTCCGGCTTCCAAGATCATTAAGGACGATTCTCTCTCCATCTACGGTATTACTCAAGATTTCAATCCCTTTTTCTGCAAGTTTAGGAATCGGTCAAGATTTAAGATTACTTCTGTTTATCTGTGGCCAGCCATAAAATAAAAGTCCTAAATTTGTCTCTAAGTTCTATCTTACTGTAACCGGAGGTTAATATTGCCTTGGTTTATTTATTGAACTAGTCTTTCCTGTTTCATACAGAGGCTACACTAATGAAGCTTAAACTAGGTTCCCAACGTCACCTAATTTCACCACCAACGGTAACGGTAACGGAAACTGAAACTGTTACAGAAGCTACAAGTGATCTGAGCTCGGAGGCGATGAAGGTTGAAGCAACTTGTACTTCTGGAACTGGCTCCAAGAGTTGTCCTGACATATCATCTGGTGAGGAGTTAATGATGATGGATACGGATTGTTCTTCTGCGAGTGTTTCAAACAGTTCAAGTGATTGCCAATCGACAGGTAACTTGAATTCACAGCAACAGAGCACGAGTGTGTCGATTCTCTACCTGTTTTCCAAATTTAAGGGTTATCAACGCGTTCCAACGCCAACAATTAATCATGAAGCAATGATGATGGAGAGTGATGGTTCTGGAAGTTTTTCAAGTTCTAGTGTGTCAAACCTTGAGTGGGGCAAAAGAGCAAAGGAACCAAGAATCTAGCACTAGCACTTTTTCCTGGGTTGTGTTGATGGAAGGATACAAAGAATAGTAGTGCTCCAATGGGGATTGGGTTTACACTGTATGTGTTGCAATGGTTTATCCTGAACTCTTGCTTCTGGGAGCAGGGAGTGCAAATGAGAGGATCTTTGGCATCGCAGTTCCTGAAACACTGTGTTGTTGAAAAGCCAAGCATTCATTTTAAGGACGTCAAACAACAACCTCAGAAAATTTCAAACGATAAAGATTCTTGCAGTTGAAGCGGTGCTTCTAAGTTAGCTTATCCTTTGCAGGACAAGGTCCTTTTCCATCCTTTCGCAAAGGGCATTGAAGACTTCACTCGTTGAATTCTGTTCGGCAGCCTGCTATGTTTTAGTTACTGGTTATGTTGCTTTTGTTCTTTCTCCTCATACATTTTTATCCCTTACCAAAAGTGTAACCGTTGAATAGCCGTGACTCACGAGGTGGAATAATAGTCCATTCTTAGTGTCTATCTCATCATTGTCCCTACTCTTGCTTAAAGAGAAATGTAATACAAATGTTTTGATCAGACGTTGAAGCATTTGGTGGATCAACTCACTGGGCTTTATAAGCCCTAGCTTGTGCTGGTAACCTTATGATATATATCCATTAACTCCCAAGAAGAGAGCTTGCCGCTTCTTCTATTTTTAATAAGCAAGATCACTGTTTCTAACTTCTTACTTACAAGAAAGCTAGAGCAAAGATCAGTGTCTCCTTAATCACAGAATTCAAAGTGTACCAGCTCTGGAATAAGCCCAAGGGATAACTTGAGAAAAGATCAGTGTCACCTCAATTGCAGAATTCAAAGGGTACTAGCTCGGGAATAAGCCAAAGGGTTGCAGACCAGATAGTTCAGCCATTCTTTGAGTCATATCATGTGAAGTCGGAAACAGAGACCGGAAAGGATAAGACAAAGTTTTCTTCCATAACTCTTACAAAACTGCAGGTCTAACATGGCAATTACATCAATCTTCAATGAATTGCTTATATCTCATATGAATATTTTAACATAGAAAATACAGGAGCTCAGAAAAGGACTTGAGAAGTGCCTGCCTCAACTATGACTAAGTATAGATGAAAGATCACTCCCTTAACCATGGTGCTTGAACAGGGGTCCACTCGCATAATTCACCTTCTTTGAACCAGAGAGCTGAACAAAAAACAAATTGAGAGAGTGAGGAGACCAGATGGGGGCCCTTAAAGGGTAGGCTGGTATATAAACTCATTACTGTGCATCTCCCTAATCTTTAAAACAAGCAAAGGGGAATAATCAAAAAGGATTACAGGTGATCTACTTTTGTTCCTAGACTAACTAAACTGAAATTTCTTATATTGGATCTTACAATTACTCTGTGGCTAAATGCATAAACTTTAACTTTGACTATTGACCATATTTCAGTTCGTGCTCAATGCATCGAGCATGGCAGAAATTCACTGCAGGCCAAGAGCAGAAGCTGTAATGCTTACATTCATTTGAATCCACATTGAGAAACATACGAAAGCACTTTAGAGGAAACTATTTGGGCAACAATATTTTTGATTACTGGTTAAGGAAGCTAGAAGACCTCACCTGTTTCACGCTTGCCATTCTCAGGGCTGTCACTACCATGGATCACATTCCTGCCGAGATGTTCATTATCAAAATGACTACTGACAAAAAGGAATCATAATCAAGAAATAAGAGGCACTAAATTAGGGTAAACAAAAGCTAACCTTCCTGTTTGAACAGCAAGATCCCCTCTTATAGTGCCAGGTTCAGCCTGAAGAGGATCTGTAGACCCTATCAGCTTACGTGCAGATGCCACAACACCAACACCCTCCCATGCCTTCGAAACATAATCATTATCAGTTTTCTCAATCAAAAACTTATGCTCAAAACTTATGATGTGGGAACAAATCAGGTAAATCATACCATACACACAACTGGTCCGGAGGTGATGTAGTCAATCAGTGAAGGATAGAATGCCTTGGCCTTGAGATCCTTATAATGCTCCTGTAACCATCACCAAATACTAATTAAGCATATCATCATGTTAGCTCCCTAATCATTTTACAGAACCTTTTGCTAAAGCATCCACTGTAAAGATATCAAGGTAACATAATTCTTATGTGAGAAAAATCTTGATAGTAGCAGAAAACTTGAAATGCTTTACCATGTTAATTGTGTGTTCTACAGCAAGAAATCATTATTAATTTTCATTGGTTTCTATGATTTCATATCATATACAAAGCAAAATATTGGCTAATCAACCAATGTCCATGACAGATAACTTAACAACTAGCAATTTTTTCTCTTTACATTAACAAACATGGAAACAACAAGATTTTCTTAATGCACAACAATACAGCAAACAACAATTTCAGCCCAACAACAAACTTACAAACCTCAGCCAATTCTTTAGGGCATTGAAAGAGCTTCAAGCCAGTCAGTTTAAACCCCTTCCTCTCAAATCTCGAAATAATTTCTCCAACCTTGAAAAAAACAAAACCCAGATAACAAAGTTTAGCAAACGAAATCAGAATCAAAATTCCAAAAACTCTATCACCAACAATTCCCTTTTTGGCTACTCAAAGTGCCTGCACGTAAAACCAATAGATAGCAAGCAATTTAAGAATACAAATGTGTAACTCTCTTTCCTTTAAGTTTTTGAGCAACCAAAAATTGATCATGGAGCATGAAATTTTAACCAAATTGGAGCAAAGCTTACAAGTCCACGTTGTACACCGTCAGGTTTGACCATAACATAAGTTTGTTCAACTTGTTCCTGAACCAAACATAAAGAACAAAAGGAAAAAAAGGTAAACTTCAAATACTAAAATGGGTATTTTACTTATGACAGGAAAAAAGGAAAGAAGAGTGAGAGGCAAACCAAAGAAGCGACCAAGTGGGGAAGGAAGATGCCATGGGTGGATTGACGGGCATGGGATTTGGTGTAAAGAAAAGGACGAGCCGGGGATTTAGTGAAAAGATGGGATTGTTCGTGGAATGCTGCTAGGTGGCGCACGTTAAAGTTGTTGGAAGGGGCGTAGGGTAAGCAGGTGCTGCTGCCTCGCTTCGCAGTTGCTGCCGTTGCTGGGATACCCAAGGATGAAGTGGTAAGGGACAGGGACAATGCCACTGCTTCCATCTTCTTTCTTTTCTATCTTTCTCTTCCCCACACACGAGGCTAATATGCACTTTTTACAATGCCAAAGTTACGGAACTGCCCTTCGCAACTTACTACCTATAGGTATGTACATATTTTTTCTTTAATTTTTCTAGACAAAAAGAGGCATATTTTTCCTTCAAAATTTTTGAGGCAAAATCCATCCAAGGTCGTGGAAAAAGGGAAATATACCAATCTTGTTACTAAATTTTCAAATTTTTGTTGGAAAATAATTTTGGGATTGATGTGTCATGTCTGCATTTGAGATTAGCATTAATAAAAAAAATTTAGATATAATTTTTTAAAAAACTTTAAATTATTTATAAAATTCAAATAAACTTTATTCTTTTATAAATTTGAATCAAAACTTTATATTTTTATTATGAGTTAAATAAACTTTTATAATTAACCGTTGATTAATTGTCTTTAATCAAATCGTCACATATTATTTTGTCATGTAGTGTTAATATAAAATACTGACATATTATATTAAATGATATACTAAGTTGATGTGACATGATAAAATAGTTATATAAAAATTTTTATACTCTACTTTAACACTGTAATAAATAATATTTTAATTAAGCATGGTTATTCAGTCGATAGTTATAAAGATCTATTTTATTGAAAATAAAAATATAAGGTTTGATTAAATATAATAAAAAATATGAGTTTGTTTTAATTTTTTAAAATAATTTAACAATTTTTTTACAATATTATGCCAAAAATTTATTAATAAGTTTTAAATACTAAATGTTAAAAGTAAACTTTATCAATTGAACTAATTTTTATAATTGGTTATCTTGTTTTCTATGACATTTTTTCGAAGATTCAATAATTATTGAAAGAAGAGAATATATGCTTTTGGATTAAGGGGATGGATATTTGACTTGAATAAGGGGTGGAAATTTTCAGCTTTTTGTTGGACAATAATTTTGAGATTGATGTGTCAAGTCGTGCATTTGAGATTAGCATTAATAAAAAGAATTTAGACATAATATTTAAAAAGTTTTAAATTATATATGAAAATTTAAATAAATTTTTATTTTTTATAACGTTTAATAAAAAACTTATATTTTTATTTTGAGTTCAATAAACTTTTATAATTTATAGTTGATTAATTATTGTTAATCAAACATCACATGTCATTTATATCATTTGGCGTTGATTGCTAACATATCATATTGAATAAAGAGATAGTAGGTTGATATGATATAACAAATAATTAGATGAAATTTTCACCTTCCACCCTAGCATCATGTCAATGTCATGAGGGTGAGGGTATAAAAATGATAATTGATATTTTAACTAACTACAATTATTCAACTTTTAGTTATAAATATTTATTTAACATAAAATAAAAAATATAAGAGTTTGATTGAATATAATAAAAAAATAAATTTATATAAAATTTTTTAAATAATTCAATAATTTTTTAAAATATTATGTAAAAAATATATTAATAAATTTCAAATAATAAATCGTTGACGGTTAAAAGTAATCTTTATCAATTGAACTAATTTTTATAGTTGACAAGTACAAGGCCGGTTAAAGTCAACTTGTTTGTAAATTGTTTATCCAAATTATAGATGTTGTCTTATGTTATCAACAAAAACATTACACACAAGTTAAAGGTAATTTTATCTAATAAGAGTCATCATGCTAACAATTTAATCATTTAAGTCATTGTTCATATATATGGGAACAAAATAATGATACTAATAATAATAAAAAAGAAAGCAATTGTTCATATCGAAAACCCAAAGCGTGACTAAGCAAACTTGTTGAATTAATGTCAATTGCATATTCCATACCTTTATATTGATATACAAATACAAATTGCCGGCCTTAATTTGAGCCACGGTGATTGAATTTGAAAATGGTTTAGGATGTTTTAGAAACTTTAAACCTGCAAAGCAATTGAAAGAAAATTGAAGGAATTAAAGAATTAAATTGAATGTTAATTACATTTGGGGGGGATTGCGTCTATGTGCACACACCAAAAACACGCGTTCTTTATTTCATCTGTTCGTTCAATCATCAGAACAGTTCCAAGTTCAAGCCCAATGCCTGCAACCATTGAGCTGTTTATTGCTGCAAGAAAAGTTTAGTAGGAAATCACAATAAACATAACTGGGATTACATATATAGCCACCCATTTCCACGACCGGGGAATTTGTCTTATTGGTGTTGAAGTTGAACAATGACGTTCGGCAGCTATGATTTAACATTTCCAGCAAGAAGCTGCAACAATGGGCTTGGATTTCCAGCCAAGAACCAAGCATCCCTTATCTTCCACAACAGTGTAACCTTCACAGACCTTATTCTTCCCAAGCCATTGCTTGGCCTGAGTTATCATCCTGAGCGGTGCAGCCTGAAATCCTGCGCGGCTCATTCTCCTACGCCACTGATCCACCCTCTCGTGCCGCTCAACCCTTCCCGGGCCCTCACAACTCACAATGTTCTTTATCTCCTCTGCAAAGTAAAACTGTTCCATCTTGGCACGCCTGGTGTCATACTTGGGTAACATAGCATCCAGGGAGTCAAAAATTGCTGAGTAATAATGCAGTGCTTCCATAAATCTCCCCAGAAAAAAAGGTCCATTGTGGCTTGAGTCCTGCTCAACTAGCACCAGAACCTTTGGTGAGAGCTCGTGAATAATCTGCAGAACTGAGTTTAGAGCTCCCCGACTTTCTTTAACCACACAATGCAGCTGAAGAATGCTGTTCACAACAAGTACTTCTCCATCAAATACTTTGATGTCTTCAGGCTGCAGGTTTTCTAAGTTGCTTTTCACAACGGAGAACCCCAAGTTCATTCCCAAGTCTTTTGCATAGGCCTCAAGCTCTTGACCAATGATGTGGAACCTATGATCACTCAGGCCAACCGCCGTGATTCGCAGGCGGCTGGGTGGTTTGCCAGCACGGTTAGCAAGGCTTTGTATCAGGTGGCGCCATTGGTGACCATGTGGTAAACCAAGGGTCATCCCCAAGTCCACCACATGGACAAAACTCTCTCCCTCAAAGGCTTCCAATATCGACGAATTAGCTACGAAATGACCGAACGGTATATGTGGGCAACTTTCATAAACAAGGCGCAAAGCTTCTTCTTTCTTGTCCGAGGGAATGTCCATTATGTTCATCACAGGTGCAACAAGGCCAACCGTCCCAAGTGGTTGAACCAAAGCGAGACGATCAGCAAGACCTTGAACAAAACAAGAAGCTACTCGCTGGAAGGAAGAGCCAAAGACCAGAGCATTGGCTCGAAGCTCGGATAACAAAGCTGAGGCATGTGATTTGTCACGACAAGCCACAGCTTCTGCACAAGCAATGAGAAGCTGAACAAGCCTCATCCCATCAGCTGTTTCATCTTCTTCGCCTCCACTTTCCTCAGAACTGATCATGGCCGCCGCTGCCTCTTCTACAGCCTCAGCAGCAAGGTATCTTTGAGTATAAGTCAATATATGATCTCTGAAATGCAGCCTTGGTAAGCTATTCAAGCTACTAGTGCTGCCTCTGCGGCTCATGCAGCTATCGCTGTTTCCACCACTGGAAAGACTACCAGAACTTCCGGTTAATTCAGGAATGCTAATAGTTCGTCTGAGCCTCTTAGTATCCCTGGTTTCTCCTGAGAAGGGGAGGCTCCACCCACATGCATTGTCTCCCATTATGGACATAAAAGGGTGAAAACAGAAGGCCATGGCCGAAAGCTTGAGATCAAGACCGGTCACTTCGTCGATCCTATCAGTTTTCTGGAACTCATTTGGTAAAAAACCATGAGCCATTCCCCCGATCACTCTGTTTCTCTACCCTTTTGGTCTCTTTTCTAGAATATCTGCAACAAAGCAAGGATACCTTATATAGCAATATAAGCCAGTTTTTCTTGGAAGCGATACTCCCAAGATTTCTTTAACGTTCTAAAATATTCAACAACTATGAGAATTGGACGATAGGCTTGGCATTTATAATTGTAACCTTAAACTTGGGCATACAAGAAAAAAATACATAGAGCAATCATTAACATGCCTATTCCCTCGTCTCTCCTGAAATTTTGGATCTATAACTTGTCTGTAACTTCCTTCCTAGGTGGTAACAATGCATTTACATACTGTACTTGAAAAAAACTTTTAAGGCAAATGTCATTTTCTGCAGTCTCACATACTATCTTTTGATTTTACAGTTTTTAACCTAGAATAAAATCTTCCCACAATGTAACGGATAAGCTTACTTAGTGACATTCTGGTTCAATTTCACTCTGATTTGGCCCCTTGATTAGTTGAATGAAACAGGCAGCTTGCGAAACCACTGAAAAGTAATGGTGAATCACTCGTTGCAGTGGAAGTGTAACAATGAAGGGACGAGCTACGAGTTTTGAAGTGATTACACAATTAATCAGAGGATGGAGCAGTTTGATGCTGAGCTCTGCTTCTAGTAATGGATTATAGAGCGGTTTAAGTCAGATTGTCAATGGTTTTTCCATCTATCCACCACTTTCTAACCCAGCTAATACATAATCTTCTGATGATTTACCCCCATTTCCAATTCGATCAAAACCTTTGATGGGTGGAGGAAAAATTTACAAGTCTATTTATCATATATACTAGTTGCAAATATTTTCACAAGGCTGATGGTTATTAGCAGATTGTTTACACTTTCCCATTTTATGGGAACACACCATCTTACTGATTTGATGTAAGATCATCTGCTTTCAGCAAAGTATTGGATGGCAGTGCAACACCCCCAAAATCATGGCCAACTTGACTTCTGCTGTAACTGAAATAAAAGCCTCTTACTTTCTTTTCTTTTTGGATTTATAGGAGGGGATTTGGACTCTACTTTTTAAGACTGAATTACACTATGATTACGTTGGGAAAATGCAGTATTTTGTTCGTTTCTCTTAGCACGGTTGCCTTGCCGGCTCAAATTAGAACATTAAGAAGAATAAGCCGAAGACTCTAAGTAACATTGAGACGTCTTTGAGCCCTCTACGTTCCTAAAGCTAAGTACACATTAATAATTGCCTAAGTACATTTTTATTAATTTTTACGAATGGTTTGTTGTCATTCCACAGTAGCCTTGGTCGATATTGTAGGAGAAATACAAGGACAATGACCAAATTTGTATCAATATTTTATCTTTTCAAAGATTAATATATAGCGTTTTCAAAATAAGGAAACAATGTTGTGAAAACGAGTTCACAATGCAAAAATCTCAACCTGATAATGAAGAGAGAATGGTTTTTCTTTATTCAGTTAATTTTTTTTAGATTGTTTTAATTGACTGTGATTATATTTTATTGAAAATTTTCAAATCGATATATAAATATTATCATATAATTATCTAAATAGCTTAATTTATCAAGATAATATTTATATATATATATATAAAGTTGTTATCTTTTGATAGAATTGATCATATAGGCTGAACTACCATGGATATTATCCCAAAGTAGAGAATATAAGATCGGTGCTAGCATATTCTAGCTTCACAAGACACCAACAAGAAACGCAAAACAGGACATGCCCTTAGGTCGAATCAGTCCAGTGCTACTGCCAAAAGAAGCTATGAACTCATCTAACATTGGACAGCGAGGAATGCTCTTTAGGAGACCAGAGTTTTGTTTTGTTTGCTTAATTTCACTTTAGTACGTCTACAAGAATACAGATATTCTAGAACAAAACTGTTTCATAGCTGTATAACTATGCTTTTTTTTTTTAATGTCATACATAAAAGCTAGCATTGGAAAAGGACTATGACAGTAGAACTAATTATACATACATATATATATATATATATATATATATATATATACAATATATAAAGATTAAGGTCAAGCGTTCTCCAATGCATTGGGCATGTTTGAGAGCAAGAACGGGAGCATACCTTAGTCTTACCTTGTTTCTTGTCCAGCAACAAGGTTAGAGGTTAAAAACAAGGTGACTTTGCAATCTTTAGAGTTCATTCCAGATCCTCTGGAGAAATACTTGAATCCGAGGACAGAATCAGGAGTTTCAGTTTGGGGGTCAAGTCTTATATAATTTTAAGAGTTATTTTTTTAAAAAAAACTTAATAATGAACCCATATATAACAATCCATAAAATTGATATACTAAAGACAAATTAAAGAAAAATCATAATATCACAAATTTTTATTAATTAAGCCGAAAACAATGATTTTTCATCACATAAAAAAAAAGTCTATTTTTAAAACATTATTTCATGTTTTTGATGTTATATTGCATTAAAAAGTTTAAATTTCATGATAAATTTAAATTTAAGTCAAGAACCCTGATATTAGAGTAGTAAATTTATTTATTTATTTATTTGAGGAGAGGGAGAGATTCAAATATTGTACATCAGATATCAATTATTGAGTCAAATGCTCTAAAGCATAAAGCATACAATAAACATTGATATTTCAAATAGTTTGAATCATTAAAAAATTATTTGTAAAAAGTAGATTAAAATAAACTCAAATGAAAATTTGAAATAGGATAGAACCGTTTTTCAAAAGTTTTGATTTAACAAGCGGAGAAACAAGTAGTTTTTTTTTTTATTTTAGCAAAATAGGTTAACTAAACTTATTTAAGAGGAAAAATTAATTTTAGATGTAGTTGAATTAAAATTTTTTTGTGTAATTAAAATTATTATTGGTCATTTACATATTAAAATTAAAGAATAAATTAGATTATGGAACTTTAACTCCAGCATAAAACTTGTTCAATTTAACTTTGGGAAGTGAGATTATAATCTTTGGTTGTAAAAAAAAAAAATTCATATATACATTAAAATTTTAAAAATTTTGAAAAGACGAAGACCCTCACCCTCTTCTAGTTTCTTTCTTGCTTGAATGTAATCTCGAAAAGTTTTCATATGTTAACTACATTAAAAATTTTGTACCTGGAACACATGGAAATTTTGTTGGATGTCTATGGAATTATCATAGGCCTAGGCCTGATAAATGAATGTCTGCCATCTCACTCTCATCCACACATCATATTGCTATTTGCAAGACCACTGAACGTAAGTTTAAACTACCCCTTGTCACGTTGGACAAACCATGCATATATGTTAATTGCTGGTCCTGAGTGATGTTACAAAGAGCATTAAGGTCACTTAAAGTGTACATTAAGTGCCATTAATAATAAAATTTTTATTTATCTTTTGGTGATATTGAAAACACAAATCCAAAGTAAGAGTTTTCCTTTGACACAGGCAAGAGAAGAATTGCTTTATTCTATGCCAAAAGCATATAATTGTAGGATTGCAGTATTTCTTTGGATCGACAACATTCAAAACCCACATACAAATGTTAAAAATTTGTTTTATTATGATTGAAATGTAAATAATTCTTTTTTATGATCAATCATGTTACAACAGAAAACTGTAAATATAAAAAATAATAAAAAAATTATAAGATGTGTATTAATGTTATTGTCCTTAAAGTTTTATTCAATCTTATTTATAATGTGTAAAAGAATTACAAATAAGAAATCTTGAAACATACGATGAGATTTGAAGATTGATTGCTTTTTGTAATGACAAAACCAATCCATTGATGATTTTACGGTGCATAGTGAAATTATCTAACTTCTATAAAATATTTTCACAACAAAATAATATAAAAGAAATCTAAAAAATACATATGAGAAGAATGAGAGATTGTATGGATGTTGCATTTAGTATCCTTTTGAATTTTGAATTAGAGGAGTCCCTAATTAAAGACATTTAATGCTTTTTGACACAAATAATATTAACAACCATTTAATTCAAAAATTTAATTTAGATTAAAATAATTTATTATTTAACCACCTGCATGTGTCAAGTGCTTTTATTAAATAATAATATATATTATTAATTTAATTAAATTATAATATCAATTAAGACTTCCAATTTGCACTTTAATCCAACTATTCGAATTTATACTTCTCTTTTTTTAAATATATATATATCTACATATTTTATATGAGATTGTACCCCACATTTATTATTGTTAAAAATGGCTAAAAAATTAAAACTTATCACAAAAATAAAAAAAGAGAAAATCTAATTAAATTTAGTAAAAAATTAAGATGCATGATCATTCAAGCTCCTTTCTAAGACATCAACTATGACCCGTTCAAGTCAATATTTTTAGAGATTTTTTGTATCCAAGCAAGAACAAAATAAGATAAATTATTCACATTCAATAAATTACAGAAACTTGAAAAAATATTATAAAAAGTAAGTCGTCACGAAGGGAATAACCCAGCATTAAAACATGAACATATTTATAAAAAGTCTTTGATTTGAATTTTGAGAATTAAGGAGAGAATGAAGTTTTATGAGATGAGAAAAAATTGTCTTATTTCCATAGATTTAATCCAATATATCTTCACATGCAAAGAAAATTAGTATTAAGAAAATACTAACCATGAATAAACATTCTTAAAAGGAAAGCAGAGGAAACATAAAACTCAGAATTCACAAGTTGACAATTAAATAATGAAAAAATAGGAAAGAAAGACAAACCTCACACTCAATGACAATCTAGAGAACATTAATGAATCAACAGCGTGAAGTGCGTTTAGGAAAAAAATAAAAAAGAAGATAATGGAAGAGCAATCTGACCAACCATAAAATGAGCTAAAAAATTAAAAAAAAAAAAAAGAGAGAGAGCCACTAGCAATAATTGACCAATCAACAATTATAAGCTTATTGCCCACCAGATTTTTTTTAAAAAAATTGACGATAGAAATTAGAAAAAAGATGTAAAAAATGGTAATTTTCATAAAGAAAGAAACAATTTACAGTTGTAATTAATTGATACGACAGTTATAATCTTGTATTTGAGGCTTCCAAGGGAGCAGAATGGTACAAAGGTGGCGATTAGCGAAGGAAATTGTGTGCAAGCAGAAGCAAACACAAAAAAAAAAAAAAAAAAAACTCACGACTGGAGATTCAAATTCAATTCAAAACAGTTTTATTATTCAAATGGTGAGCAAATTCAGATTTCCCTTTTTTTTTATCACATATTTTATCAATTTGATCATGCAATGCAAGAGCTCAATTTAGGCAAGCAATAAATAAAAGTAAACAAATAAGAATGAGGTTAGCTTTCTCCTGCGTCATTTTTCAACTTCTCAGACGCCCTCACCGTCATAATCACACCAAACAACAATCACGCACGATCCAATTATCCAGTCATTTTCAACTTGCATATTGGAACATGAAGAACTTTCCTTTTCCCCCTTCTTCTTTCCCGTGCAGAAATTTCCTTTTCTCCATTAGCTTTCGTTTATTTTCCCATAAAATATTTTTCAGAAAATACTTTTAAGACTTATGCTTGTTTCACAAAATGGAAACTTTATTTTAGATTTTAACCAAAGTCAATCCTTTAGTCTTTGGAAAGGACGCCAAAAGTACTGAATCCGCCAATTGCTATATCTTGCCCACCACTAGGCGGCAGCTTTTGTGGATGTGAATGCATTATTTACTCACGGATGCCATGTAATGAAATTAATAAAGACCGCAAATCCTCTGCGACCATATTGTCTCCCCATCCGTGCCTTCTCTCTATTTTTTTTTCCACCTGTCCTAACTCTTTTATAGGATAGAAAATAGTTAATAAATGGTAGCACTAAAATTTTGAACAACTCTTTTGTGGCTGTTAACGCCACACTTTATTTTTGATGTCCTTTCTACATACATTTTTGTTACTTGTCCTTCCTCTTTCAAAAATTCAAAAATAAATCAAATAATTAAATAAAAGTATCACATATTTCATCATATAATAATATTATATCAAATATAACACTTAGTTTATAATAATTAATACTAATAAATAATACAAAAAGTTTATTTTTTTTATTTTTTTATTTTTTTATATATTGTATCAAAACATACCACATCTCCAAAAGATTCACAATCTAATTTCATCTTATCATTTGTCTAAAAAATATTTGTGATGAGATTATCAAGATTAACTTGTATAACATAAGAAAAATTAAGATCATTATAGTACATATTTTATAGATACTCTAAGACACTACTAATATCTCCAACTTTTACTACTTCTGTTCTCTTAGAATGTAAATAATTATTGTAATCATCAAAAATAAAATCAAGATTCTTGAGTCTACCAATTTTTCTGACCAAAACCTCAACACCCTCTTTTGGTGCTATTCCAAAGCACTCAGCGATTGCAAGTTCAACAGCTTGAGGGAGATTAATTGCCATTTGAGATCTTAATAATATATGCTTATGCAGAGAAGCTAATGCATGTGCATGTTTTGTAATAAATTTCATAGCACCTAATGTATCATCATATCATGGAACTTTTAATACATTTAAGCACCCAAATCTTGTTTCTGGATGGTGACTTTTGACATTATAATCTCTTTTATCATATCTTCGAGTTCCTTGCCAAGAACAACAAAAAACCCTAGATGCCCAATTACCATACTTATCCTTATGTTTTTTAGTTTTTTGAATACTAAATCCAACTTTTTTAGCATATCTATTGTAAAAATCATAAACATCTTATTCCATTTCAAATTCCATTCCAAATTTTTGAATAATTTCTTCTAACATATTTGCATGAGCTGAAATCATAATATGGGTATTGGAATCAATCATATTTGAACACTTATGTTGCTCTAGATTTTGCTCCTCCATTTGATAGAAGAATATTATCTTTGGTAAATTTCAATCTTCGACACTATTGATCTTTTTTAATTGTATTTGTAGTTTGTTTATCCATAACTAAAAAGTAAAAAATAAACAAATCTAATTATCTTTTAAATTAATAGAATAATCGTATATTCTCCTTATACTATTTCATTCTATGTGCCTTAAAATTTATTAATTAAACACAATTAATGATAAAAACACATTAAATTTGAATTAAACAATACACATATATATATATATATAAAGTTAAAAAAATCAAAAAAATCAAAAATCAATGAACCACCTATAACTAAATTTGATGTCAATATCATCATGGAAGAACAAAATATACAATGAACCATGAATAACCATGTATAGGACAAAGAAGAAAAAGGTGAATGCTTTTCAAAAGAAAAATATGAAGAAAGTTGTTTATAAGTACAAAATTCAATGAAACTTTATGTTATGGGACGGTCTCTTTATGTGTATAATTTATTCGTATATAGCTTCGGTCAAAAAAGTCAAAAAGAATATCATGTGATGAATTAATAAATATAAAATTAAAATTTAAAGAATTAATAAAAAAATTTACAAAGTTTGAAAATATCTTGACAAATAAAAAAGTCAAAATAAAAGAGCTCACAAAGTTTGAAAGTATCTTGACAAAAAAAAAGTCAAAGTAAAAAAATTTTCAAAATTTGAAAGTATCTTGTCAATCAAAAAATCAAAGTAAAAAAGTTTACAAAGTTTGAAAATGTCCAATGAAAAAGTCAAAGTAAAAGAGAGGTAGCCAGCTAACAAGAAAGAAACCTAGCATGAGAATTTTTTGTAAAGAGACGTTAACAACTACAAAAGGGTTCGGGGCCCAATAGGGGGCAGAGGATTTGTGTTCATAAATTCGCCTTGCACAAGCTAATTGAATGCTTTCATCAATACACCTTGGCAACATGGAAGTGAAAATTATCTCTAGAGAAATCATCAAACCTTCTTCTCCCACCCCGCACCACCTAAGAAGCTATAAGCTTTCTCTTCTAGATCAGATCGAGATAGCTGAATCCATATATATCCCGCTTATTCTCTTTTATTCGGTTGCCTCCAGTGATCCCGGAAAAAGATCTAATATACTCAAAGAGTCTCTCTCCAAAACGTTAACCCACTTCTATCCATTTGCTGGAAGAGTCAAGGATAGCTTCACTATTGACTGTAATGATGAGGGTGCCATCTACATGGAAGCTCAGGTAGCCACTGACATGTCCACTGTTTTTAAAGAACCTGAGAGTACTAATTTGCTGTTGTCACTACTTCCCTGTGATCCCCTTGAAAGGTTTTCTGAACCAAGTGCTAAGGTAATGGTAGCAATTCAGGTGAGCTTCTTTGCTTGCGGTGGCATGGCAATTTGTGCTTGTGTTGATCATGTGGTAGCTGATGCAGCAGCAACAGCAACCTTTCTTAAAACCTGGGCTGCGGTTGCTTGTGGTGCCAATTATGTTGATAATGATCTGATCTACAATCGCACCTCTGTCTTTCCTCCACTGGATTTATCAGGCTTTTCGAAGCAGTTTGCCGGCGAAAAAAAGGATAAAAAAGTGTTGACAAGGAGACTCTTGTTAGATGGCTCTAGGATAGCTTCTTTAAGAAATGAAATTGGTAATGGATTGTGCTCTTATCGTCCATCAAGGTTTGAGGCTGTGTCAGCACTCATTGGGTCTGCTATTATGTCCACAACTACAAAAAAGGATGAAACTTTCCCCATGGTGGCACTTGCTGTGAATTTGCGAAACAGAACGAATCCACCTTTTCCACAACAATGTATTGGAAATATCTTCCACTTGGTACAGGTGGAACCACAAATGGAGAAGACGTTTAATCGTAGCATTCTAGCAAGAAAAATTCATGAGTCCATAAACAAGGTTGACGATAACTATGTGAAGAACCTTCATGCAGATGGTGGCTACCTTGATATAATAAAAAATTTAGTAAACAATAAGATTATTTTTAGTTGTTGGTGTCGATTTCCGTTCTATGAAACTGATTTTGGATGGGGAAAGCCAATAAGGATTGCAACTGCTTTGGGAATCGAAAGGGGTGCCTTTTTCTTGGATACCAAGGATGGTGAGGGAATAGAAGCATGGATAACACTTGCTGAGGAAGATATGGCCAAATTTGAGCAGGACCCTGACATCCTTGCTTATACTTCTGTCAATGGAAGCATTTAATATTTCTGCACTCATAATTCTGTAATAAAATGCTGTGCGTTAAACTTAAAAAGAAGAAATTGTAAGAAATGGTCATTCTTATAAGTCCATTTCAGAAATAATTTAAAATGATTTTAATATAAAGTTGATTGTTTTTATCCATTTTTAATCATGAGATGATAAAATACATTAAAATTCATTTTAGATAAATTAAACACTATCAATTTTTCTTTCCCGCCATTCGTGAACTGTGCTTTCTATTTTTCTTTCTCGTCATCCAATTCTTTCTAATTTTACCCTCATCACTATCTATCTTTGTCTATTTCTTGTCATCTTGTCATATCATTATTGATCACAAACCAACAAGCATAACATGAAAGATAATAACATATTTTTGGATTTATTAGTTTGCATTCACAAAAGAGAAAATTGTAAAATATTCAATGGTGAAAATTCATAATAATGAATATAGTAGGTTATATAAGATATATACAATAAATTTAGAGGAGTTATAAAAAGGGAATAGGATAGATAACAAAATGAGGAAGCATTAGATCTAAACATATACAATTATGAAATGAAACATCCTCTTTAGAGGACCATAGAGTTTGAATAAAATTTTTTATGTAATAAAATAGGTAACACCTAAATAATATAGAATATATAATTAAAGAAGACAATAAAAGAGGAAAACCTTAGAGAAATAACAAAGAAAATATAGGAAGATTTGGATATTAAATAATGAATCTCATAAACGTAGCATGCATCATTATTGCATCGTAAATGTCATGGCATATAAATACTCATGTATATGAGTATAAGTCCCGATGATGGGATTTTTTGAAAGATCATTGCGAAGGTGAGTTTCTCTCGGAAAGTTTTCTAAGTGAAAGGATGTCTCCGGGTACTATCAATATGATGGAAGGGCTCGAGAAATATTTTTAATTAAAAGACTTTTGCTCGTAATAAGTTTATATTCACGAAAACATAATTTTTTCTAAAACACATATTATAACCCCAATAATGAGATTTATTCGTCAAATTTGCGAACACAAATTTCCCAGATAACATTACAACATTTTTTATTTATGGTTGCAAATCATAAGTAAAAAATCTGCTACCTTAGGTTAAGGCTGCACTTAAAAAAAGTATAACCTTAGCCAATGTATGGAAAAGTTTAGCTACACATCTTTATATGATTTTGCACTAGAATTAATATGCAGCCATATGACATATGGTTGCAATCCTAAAACCTATGGTATCATTTAAAATATGTAGCTAAAAAGTATACATAGCAATACACACAATATTTTAATATGCAACAATAGCAACTTATAAAGTACGAACCAAACCATGCAAATTTTATAGCAAACTTCAGTATACATTAATCATCAAACTTTGATTTTACAACAAATTTTACAGAAGTATATAGCAACAAATTTTACAACATCCAATCTCAAATTTTACATAAAGAATGCTCCTTTATCCAAATTTGTTGCTTTAGCAAAAAAGATGCTCCAACAAGTTTGCTAATCCTAAAATAAGAAAAGTAAAAGAACGTTAGATAATAAGATCCTCTAATTTAAAGCAACAAATTAAAGCAATTAGATACTCTAGGTATAGATTTTAACATCAACTTTCATTATTTGTCAACAAATAAGATAGATGTCCAGCAGCCTAAATCTCATTATAAGCATGTACCTACAATGCAAATGAGATGTCGGCTTCATCAACCTGTAGTGTTACTCTATTTGATTTATCAACACGAGATTGGCCTAGTTTGAAGAGACCCTGTACATTGAATTAGGTCAATATCCATTTTTATATTTGGTCAAGTCAGATAGTTAATGCCATCACCTAAAGCTAGGTTATGAAAACTGAACTCAAACTTAAGAATAGGTTTACTCTACTTACTTGGTCATTTAGCATTTTGCACATGCTTGAGAATTCCAAAATTCCAACTAGTGGTATCAATGTTGATTTGCAGATGTCAATATAAGATTTATTTAGCTGCACCAATGTAGCACCTTATATATATCAATTATGCAACTAATAATTATGTCGAACATTTTAATTAATGTCAAGTATTGTGGAAAAACACACCTCCCCAACAATTGTATCCTTCTTTCCTCAAAAAAAAACTTCACTGCAGAGCAAAGTATAGTCTGCAGTCAAACATAACAACATGCATGGGAGAAGATGAAGCAGAGACTTGACTCTGAGATTAATTATCGGTCTGTTTTATTATTAATAGGTTATTATTATAACAGTGAAATTAATACCAATGATCAAACTTTTTAATGGTGAGGAAGAGACTGTATAGTGTCAACTATAAGTGATCTGAATGCCCTTGACAATACAATAACCATATGCTCAATCCTGACTTGAAATATATCATTAAAACAATGAGTAATCAACTGTAAAGGCTGTAATATATAAGCAAGATGTGTAAAACTAACAAAACAGGCTCAAGTTTGGACGAGGTTAACATTAACCTATTAATGGCCACTTACAGTATTATTTTCTTGTGATTGGAAGATTTCAAGAGCCGGAGCTGTCTACTAACTAATGAACTCCCCCTCCACTAATGGCAAACTCAGGTTGCTTACACATTCTCTTAATTCTGCTTCTAGAATTTCCATCACACTCTTGGAGCAAACTAAAGAATGTTAGCCAATAATTTAAAGTGACTACTCTAGTCAAGTAAGGAAGATCTTAAAACAAACTATCTACAATGTTGATATATTGCAATCAAACATGCAGAATAATCCTTTTTGAGACAACATCAAATTGCTGCATCTGTTATCAATTTTAACTAATATCATGTTATAATGTCACTTCTAAGGCCTAATTTGTCAAAGACTAAACAATTGAATACATGAGACTGTAGTTAAGTTCACAGCGGCAACAATGAAACACTAACCTAGAAACGCAAAAAGCCTTCTGCATATCTCCAAATGTAGCTGCGACTTTCGGTTAAATTTCAAGCTGTTAATAACCATTGATAGTAGATTGATTGAAGATGAGAAAAGATTTTCAACAGAAAAGGTCAGATCATAAAACTCACTTTGGCATAAAGTTGTAATTCTTGCTACTAAAAGACAATATATGGAAGTATCTATGAGAGAGCAAAGTCATTAAAACTCAATAAGATGAAGTTACCATACAAAAGAAATTAGAAGTAAGTCCAAAAAAAAAAAAAAGAAAACGTGGAATGTAATAATTACCAAGAGCCTTTTTTGAAGTATTGATAGGATTTGATCTTTAGAGTAGGCACAAAAGGACAGGTTACAACCATAAGTTTACTTACCATAGAAGTGGTAGCATAACTAATTAGCATTACTTCCAAAACAACCAAGCATCCATATCGCATCATTGCAACAAGCCACGACTACAGAAAAGGGCTAAAGCATTGCTTGAAGTTAATATAAGCAGAGAAATAGAATAAAGGAATAAAAAGTCTCAGATAATAATAAACTAGTAAGTATAAGGAGACTATCCATAACCCCAAGCTAATCATGTATGAAGGATGCTAAATAAATAGATAAATAAAGTTAAAAGGATATCAAACTTTATCATTACTAGGAAGAGGAGGGAAGGAATTTGAGAGAACTGCAAATTGTTATTCCATGGTGGGTCACAGTTTTCAACTAGCTCCCATTTATCTATTAATTAGCTAAAAAAAAATAGTAATTCATATTCATAAAATAGTGAAGGTTGCTTTCTTCTTTTATACTGCACAATTCACACATCAAATGAGCTCGGAAACCTTTCCTCGAGCACAGTTCCTTAGTTGGCAACCACTCACTTTATAACTTTTGGTATGGCAGAACCGAATAATTTTGTCCTCTTCATCATCTTCCCTCAATCCTTCATCAGATCAACTTCCAGCAGACCTAATTATTATCACGTTCGAACATACATTCGGGGGCCAAAGGCGGTCTCTGCATCCCATTGTTTTTTCTATTACCGAATAATGATCTTGTCCCTTTATTCATCCTTTAAGGGAAGACATGAAAGGCAGCCGTTTAAGTCTTCCACCCATTGCCCACCTCATTCTTAATAGATACTATGACGTTGACTTGGTAAACTAACATTTTTGATCTCCCTAAAATTTTATATATCCTCCGCCAACTTGAATGGTCATGGGCAATCTTAAAAGAAGTTATCATATTTTTTCATCATATTGCTTGGGAATCAAATTCCAGTCAATTTAAGTTGCTGTCAACGGATGCAATGCCCACCTGATAAAATATCTCAACCTGAGAAACGTTCGCTAACGGCTTGGATTCTATAAATTCCCAAAAATTGGTGATCAATTGCAGAAGCTATAGATTGGTTCCATCTTAGCAAATTGGAGATGGAAATTCAAATCATCTCCAGAGGAACCATCAAACCTTCTTCTCCTACCCCACACCACCTAAGAACCCATAAGCTTTCTCTACTCGATCAGTTAGTCCCTCCTGTTAACATTCCTGTTCTTCTTTTTTACTCGGCCGCCGCTGAGAACCCAAGAAAAAGTTCTCTTCAACTCAAAGAGTCTCTCTCGAAAACATTGGTCCACTTTTATACATTTGCGGGACAACTTAGTGAAAGCTTTTCTATTGACTGTAATGACAATGGTGCCACCTATATTGAAGCCCAGGTAGCCATTGACATGTCAGTTGTCCTTAAAGAACCAGAAATCGATCTTCTGCTACAGTTACTACCGTGTGATCCACATGAGAATTTACCTGAACCAAGTGCTCAGGTTCTGCTAGCTATTCAGGTGAACTACTTTGCTTGTGGTGGCATGGCAATCTGCGTTTGTGTTCATCACGCGGTCGCTGATGCCTCCGCAGTAGCAACCTTTCTTCAAAGCTGGGCAGCGGTTGCTTGTGGCGCCAATCTTACTGAAACCGTGACTTTCGATTGCACTTCTCTCTTCCCTCCGCAAGATTTACCAGGCTTTTGGGAGGTCCTTGAAGAAAACAAAGATCTGATAATCCGCGAAGACGTTGTTACAACGAGGTTCTTGTTTGATAGCTCTAAGATAGATGTTTTGAGAGATGAAATTGGCAACGGATCATCTTTACATCGTCCAACGCGTGTTGAGGCAGTGTCAGCGCTCATTTGCAATGCCATTGTAGCCTCCATTGCAGAAAATGATAAAACTATTCCCATTTATGTG